TGGCTCCGTATGAAGATATATTACGCTGACTGCGCCATCGGCAACTTGACCTTTGGCATGCTGAGGAAAAAAGCACCACTTCGCCCAAGCTGAGAACTAGGGCAGCTGAGACAAGAGCATTGATCCCCTTTGGGGAATCCATTGCTCAGTCCATGCTGGACAGCGACATTCCCTTCGAGTTGGGCATCAAGGATGCCATGCATTTTTTGCAATTGTCTTATGATTGCCTTCACAAGGACCGATTCGACCAGGTCCATTTTCAGAACGTTGTCTTCAAGTTCTTGCAAACATATCAATGCCTTGGATCTTTGGCAACTGAAGAATACACTTGGCATCTCAAGCCGAAATTCCATTTGCTTGCTGAGATTGCTTTGGCTGGGGACTGCCCGTCTTTAAATTGGTGTTACCGCGATGAGGAAGCTGGAGGTAGCATCAGCAAGATTGGCCGCTCCAGAGGAGGCCAACAAACTTTGTGGTCTGTGTCCAGTAGATGTTTGCAGAAATTCTGCTGCGACTTCCAGGCGCCAGTGTTTGATGAAAAAGACTTTGGCAGCCACGCGTTGCCTGCACGTTTCTGCGCTTGCGTGTCTGACTGGCAGCTTCAAAACATCAGCAACACTGGAGGGGGGACGGCAGGAGCAAATGTCGCATGGATTGGTTGGTTAACTGGGACTGCATCTATTTTTTATTCGACCCTTAAATTAAACGCTTGTTAAAATAAAATTCGACCCTAACAAGCGCTTTCGACCCTTATAAGGGTCTATTGGTCCCTCTGGGTTTTTGCACCTCGACCACGCCGATCTCCGCAGAGGGTCGCGCGGGCATATCAAAAAACACGTAAAAAACCTCAAGTTTTTGCACCTCGACCACGCCGATCCTTGCAGAGGGTCGCATTCCCGATCGTCGGCAACATCCCCACCCCCGCCAAGAAGGAGATTCTTAATACCGAGCTCTTTCTCTTTCCCGCGCGTTAAGTACTTAACCTAACTTACTTAACCTAGCTTGCACAGCTGCTAACGCCGAGCCTCTACACCTAGCTTAGCTTAGCTCTATGCACCTAGCTCTATGCACTTGGCTCTATGCACCTGGCTCGATGCACTTCGCTCTTTGCACTTGGCTCTGTGCACTTAGCTCTGTGCACTTGGCTCCTTGCACCTCGCTCTTTGCACTTCGCTCTGAGCACTTGGCTCTATGCGCTTGGCTCTTTGCACTTGGCTCTGCGCAAGTAACTCTATGCTGGTGACTGTGACTCTGCGCAAGTATCTCCATGCTGGTGACTCTGCGCAAGTATCTCCATGCTGGTACCTCCGTGCTGGTATCTCCATGCTGGTGACTCTGCGCAAGTATCTCCATGCTGGTAACTCTGTGCAAGCTACTCTGTGCTAGTAACTCTGCGCGAGTATCTCCATGCTGGTATCTCCATGCTGGTGACTCTGTGCAAGCTACTCTGCGCAAGTTGGCCAAGAGCTCCTGATATATCCATGCTGGTGACTCTGTGCAAAGTACTCTGCGCAAGTTGACCCAGAGCTCCGCACGGAAGAACCCTTCGCAATGCTTTCGGGAATGCAAAATATCAATAATAAAAACATGTCCATAATTTCTAAGATCCATTTCTGTCCCTTGCATCGTCTGGTATAAGCATTTCTATTCTCAGGGATTCGCAAGCCGGGAAATAGCGGTCATGCGAAGAGATTCTGAGAAAGATAATAAAATAGAGAAAAAAAAGACATGAGAACTAGGATGAAGAGATGACATAGGAAGGGATATCATGTCATCTGGATTCTTCATTCTAACTCACTATGCTGTGGAATACTTTTTTAAAAAAAAGATGACCATTCACTCTCACCTGTCCACCGCTTACCACAGAGACTTGTCCCAACAGCGGAGAGAGAACCCTGACCAGCCTTCACATACAGATATGCATACATACATACACACATACATACATTCCGTACGTACATTACAGTACATTACATTGCATTACATTACATTACATTACACTACATTACATTACATTACATGTCATTACACACATACATACATTGCATACATACACACATACATACATTGCATACATACATACAGACATACATACAAACATTACATTACATCATGAATACATACATGCATGCACACATTACATACATACATATACACTATCATATGTGCCGCGGCTCTTTGGGACGGCGGGGCGGGCGCAAGCTCGTTCCTCCTATGGTACCACGGGGCCTCAGGCGCCTCGAAGTATAGAATGCGGCTGAAGAAGGCAAGCAGCTGCTAGAGGCGAATCCAAGACGGGGTCAGGAGCCATCTCAGTTCCAAGCACAACGAGAAGGCTGGGCCGCTATTGCCAGGAAGGCAAAGGCGAAAGTGGCACAGAAAGCGTGGGATGATTTGGGCCACGGCGTATTCTGCGGGCTCAAGAGGGATCTGAAAATATGGTGTGCCACCAACCAGAAGTTGCATGAAGCCGGAGACTTGGATGCTGCGCAGGCCAATGTGGACTTGTACAGATCCTCAATCGACGGGGTGAAGGCAGGCATTGCAGTGCTGAGAGGTCTGACAAACGCCGACAGAGAGATGACTTGCGGAGGCTGGTGTCGCAGATGGCAACAACGCAGAACATGTTGCCATTCAGCGCGGATGCAGTCAAAAATTGGCCAACAATTGCGCCAGGAACCGATCTCAATCGCATACGTTGTTCTTGCCGGCTCGATGGGAAAGCGGCCTGTTGCAGACTGGAAGGAGAAAGCAGAGCCGCTTGCACGCTCTTCTGGGTCACTTGCAGGGCTTTCAAGATATGGAAGTTGTGAACCAGGTTACTTTCCTCGGCTTGCCTCTTCGCATCTCCGAGCATGATGATCATCTTATCAGAGCCTTAATGCGCAAGGCTGCGCCGGCCTTCATGAGCTCGCGGCGCCTTTTGCTTCATCCGCGTGTTATGTGGTCTTTGGGAGTGCCTGAGGCTACAGTTGCCAATGCTCTGGTGGCGCGCGCACAATCTATCACGCTGACTGTGTGGTTTCTACGACTTCAAACTCATGTTTCCTGGTCTGACCCTAGGATGATTCAATCTGTCCGTCATATTGCTAACTCTGACGTTCTGTGCGCTGGGGGGGTGCTTGGGATGTCTTGTTTCTACAGCAAGTTTGGCGACTTATGGGTCATGTCTGCAGGGGGCTCCAGTTCTGCGGCAACTTCTGTTCACAGCGGCGCGGCCCGGGGTGGGGGTCTCGTTTGCAGGACAAGCGTGGCCCTCAGAGAACGCGGTGCAAACGCACTGTATGTATGTATGCGTTCTTGCGTGTTTATGCATGTATGTATACATGCATGTATGTATGTGCGCAATGTGTGTAAGCAATGCATGTATGTAACGTAATGTAATGTAATGTAATGTATGTAGGTTGGTAGGTCGGAAGTAAGGTAGGACGTATGGCGGGCATGTATGTATGTATGTATGTATGTATGTATGTATGTATGTATGTGTGTATGTATGTCTGTATGTGTGTATGTATGAATGTGTGTAACGTATGTAGGAATGCAACGTGCTGTAATGCAATGGAATGTAATGCAACGTAGAGTACGCATGTATGTATGTACACAATGTGTGTAGCTGAATCGAAAAATAATATATGTAATGTATGTAATGCATGTATGGATGTATGGATGTATGTACGTATGTATGTAGGCATATATGTTGGTATGACATGTATGCAATGAACAGAAATGAAACGCTGTATGTATTGTATTGTATGCGTGTATTGCATGTATGTATGAATGCATGACTGCATGCAATGGATGTGTTTGTGTAATGTATGTATGCAATGTATGTAAGGTATACAATATGTAATGTAATGTAGTATATGTAATGTATGTATGTATGTAATGCAATGTAATGTTATGTAATGTAATGTAATGTATATATATATGTTTGTATGTATGTATGTATGTAATGTATGTAATGTATGTAATGTGTGTAATGTATGTAAGGTATTCAATGTATGTCATGTATGTCATGTATGTAATGTATGTAATGTATGTAATGTATGTAATATATGGTTGTATGTATGTATGTATGTATGTATGTATGTATGTATGTATGTATGTATGTATGTATGTATGTATGTATGTATGCAATGTATGTATGCATGTATGCATGCATGTATGTATGTATGGCATGTACGTACGTACGTACGTATGTATGTATGTATGTATGCATGTATGTATGCAATGTATGTAATGTATTTATGTTATGTATGCAATGTATGAATGCATGTATGCAATGTACCGTAATGTAACGTAACGGAATGTAATGTATGTAATGTATGTATGTAATGTAATAATGTAACGTAATGTAATGTAATGTATGTATGTATGTACGTATTGTATGTATGTATGTATGTATGTATGTATGTATGTATGTATGTATGTATGTATGTATGTATGCATGTATGCATGTATGCATGTATGCATGTATGCATGTATGTATGCATGTATGCATGTATGCATGTATGCATGTATGCATGTATGCATGTATGCATGTATGCATGTCTGCATGTATGCATGTATGCATGTATGCATGTATGTATGTTATGTATGTGTGTATCACTACAGTACGTGGTTACACACACATGCATTACATACATGCAGTTCATATCGTAACATTACAGTACATTAGATTCCATGATATTACATTACATTACATTATAAACTGCACATATACCATGCATACATACAAACAGACATACACACAAACGTACATACATTCAGTACATTGCATTATATTACATTACATTACCTTACCTTGCATTACTTTACCTCACTTTACAGTACACACATAATTACATACAAACATACATACAGGAGAGTGTTGATCATGCTGGTAAGCATGTAACATATTATAATATTGCCTTTCAACGCCGTCCATGGACAAATCCTATTTGGTCTGCGCAGCTTGCTGAATGCTGGTACTGAATTGGCCCCGTGAGCAGAGCACAGGCCTGGAAGCCGCTCGCGTTCACCATGCCTGTGGAGTTTAACTCGTCGGTGCAATTCCTCACAGATTCCCAACCGCGGGGCGCGACAGTCCTTCCACACGTAGTTACTCCATGCACTCCTGCCTTTGCAAAATGGTGGCTAACAACGCATGTCCGGCTCAGAACCCCCCCGTACCCTGCCAATCTCCCCAGGATTCCCGAAGACCCACCTTCACCAGCGTCTACCAGTACCAGCTTGTTGGTTGGCCTAAACCCGCGCGCGCGCGCGCACTCCCAAGGCTCTTCAATTCCTCAGCCAAGGCGAAGGCCACGCCGCGGTCGGCTTCCAGCCGCTGCCTGGGCTTGTCGGGAGCCTCCCCCAGCTTGTCCTCCAGTGCTGATCGGCACTCCTCAGGGCGTCGGGCAAAACAAACCAGACGAATTTGCGAACAGGCAGAACCAGTCGCTGGCCTCGGCCATCCCCAACGCGCCGGTCCTCACGGGTCTTTCCCGCGAGCAAGCATGCCGCAAACTGCTCGCTGACTTCTCGGGGTGGCCGCTGAGCATGCGCCAGCCCCAAGAGCAGCAGCGGCAACCCCCACATGGCGAGGTCTGGGGAAAGGGAAAGGCACCGACTTTCTCCTTCTAATTAAGGCACAGCGCCTACACTGCGGCAGCCACCGAAGGCTGAAATCACACAACAAACGAAATCCCTAGATGCCCAGACACTACTGGACAGCTGAAGTTCTTGTAATGGAGAGCCTCAAACAAACGATGACTGTTCATGAGCAGGGCCTGCAAGCCGCCTGCATGTCTCGCTGGCAAAGGCACCAGCCAAAACAAGGCAAACCCTGCCAAACATTCGAGGCAAATACAAGGGTGCCCAAAGGATTGAAGTGTCGGCTTTCCGCGCAAGGCTGCGGCCATGGGCTGGAAACCCTCTGAGGTGCCAGCCCGCATCTTGTGGACCAGCCTTGGCATGCAGGACTATTGCCATTCAGACTTTCTATCTGTGGGATTGCAGCCTGGTCAACGTATGGCGCTTCCCAACAACCACGCGCGCTCCCTTGCCTTGCGTAGTGCACAGAAGCACCAAACATGGGGGCCAAAAGACAGAGATGACAAACAGCCAGCTTCAGTGCTGTGTCTCAAAGAATTGCTGCAAATTCAACAAGTGCTCTCCAGCACAAACATTCTCCTGAAAGTCCCCCGCCCGGGCATTCGAGCATGCGCATGTCAGGAGTACGTCCTTCTTTCACTGGCATTTTTCATTCTGAACGACACAACTCCCCAATTTCAGCGCGCCCATCATTGGTTGTCAACTTGGAACAACCTTCATTCACCCTCCCCGCGCAGTCAATCATTTAAGGCAACGCAAGAAAGGTCACGAGCCAACCCAACCAACTGAACCCCTGCAAAGGGTCCCCGGCTGCTTGTGCAGCTCCAGCTCAAGAAAAGGCAAGGCCTCTGAGAGGTCCTCAGCCAGCAGAGCTGCTACCCGGCATGAGTGGCACCCGGCAAGCGAGCGAGCGAGCGAGCAAGCAAACAAACAAAGCAAAACAACGCAAAACAAACCATCACTAACCAATCAACCAAACTTAACGAACAAACTAACTGACTGACTGGCTGGCTGGCTGACTGGCACACACACACGCGCGCACACACAACCACAAACGCCGCAAAAGGGATGCACATATGCGTCAGCACATGTTGCTCTAATATGCTTTGTCTCGAAACGGCCGTTCTTCGCGCAAAAATGCATTTGCAAATCTTTCGCGGTTTCATCGCCGTGCACTTTTCATTGCTAAAGTCAGAATCGCAGCTTTTGAGCACCAGTCTAGTGCGCGAAATGCGCTTCCGCAACTGCAGCTGCGAAGTCGCAGCTTTTCAGCGCAGGAGTAGTACATGCAAGCTCCGGCTGGAAAGTCGCAACTTTTCAGCACCAGAACGTGAACTGCGATTCCGGCGCTTCCGCAGCTGCAGCAACGTTGCAGTACCGGCACGGAGAAAGTACCTCCCCCTTGCAATGAGAGCTTTCGCGGATCTTTCGCAAAAAAACACCCAGGCTTCAGAGCGTAGAGGCACCGACACACGCTTGCACACACACACACACACACACTTGCACACACACTTATACACACACACACACACGCACACACACACACACATGTTTGAAGAAAGGCCCCACAGAAAAGATGCAATGCTTTCACATGGTCGAATCGAAAAATCGGATCGAGCCGAATTGCTTCGGCCATCCATGTTTGTCTGTGTGTGTGTGCGGGTGTCTGTGTGTGTGTGTGTGTGTGTGTGCGTCTGTGTGTGTAGGTGTGTGTGTGTGTGGGTGTCTGTGTGGGTGTCTGTGTGGGTGTCTGTGGGTGTCTGTGTGTGTGTGTGTCTGTGTGTGTGTCTGTGTGTGTGATTGTGTGTGATTGTTTGCGTGTGTTTGCGTGTGTTTGTGTGTTTGTGTGTTTGTGTGTTTGTGTGGTTGTGTTGTTGTGTCTTTGTGTTTTGTGTCTTTGTTTGTGTCTTTGTGTCTTTGTGTGTGTTTCTGTGTGTGTGTGTGTTTGTGTGTGTGTTGGTTTGTGTGTTTGTTTGTGTGCTTGTTTGTGTGCTTGTTTGTGTGTTTGCTTGTGTGCTTGTTTGTGTGATTGGTCTTGTGATTGCTTGTGAGTTTGTTTGTGTGTTTGTTTGTGTGTTTGATTGTGTGTTTGTTTGTGTTTTTGTTTGTGTGTGTGTGTGTGTGTTTGTTTGCGTGTGTGTGTGTGTGTGTGTTTGTGTGTGTTTGTGTGTTTGTGTGTGTGTGTGTTTGTGTGTGTTTGTGTGTGTGTGTGTTTGTGTGTGTGTTTGTGAGTTTGTGTGTTTGTGTGTTTGCGTCTTTGCGTCTTTGCGTCTTTGTGTGTTTGTGTGTGTGTGTGTTTGTGTGTGTGTGTGTGTGTTTGTTTGCGTGTTTGTTTGTGTGTGCTTGTTTGCGTGTGTTTGTGTTTGTTTGTCTGTGTGTGTGTTTGTGTTTGTGTGTTTGTGTTTTTGTGTGTGTGTGTGTTTGTTTGTGTTTGTTTGTCTGTGTGTGTGTGTGTTTGTGTGTTTGTGTGTTTGTGTGTGTGTGTCTGTGTGTCTGTGTGTGTGTGTTTGTGTGTGTTGGTTTGTGTGTTTGTTTGTGTGCTTGTTTGTGTGCTTGTTTGTGTGTGTTTGCTTGTGTGCTTGTTTGTGTGATTGGTCTTGTGATTGTTTGTGAGTTTGTTTGTGTGTTTGTTTGTGTGTTTGATTGTGTGTTTGTTTGTGTGTTTGTTTGTGTGTGTGTTTGTGTGTTTGTTTGTGTGTTTGTTTGTGTGTGTGTGTGTGTGTGTTTGTTTGCGTGTGTGTGTGTGTGTGTGTGTGTGTGTGTGTGTGTGTGTGTGTGTGTGTGTGTGTGTGTGTGTGTGTGTGTGTGTGTGTGTGTGTGTGTGTGTGTGTGTGTGTGTGTGTGTGTGTGTGTGTGTGTGTGTGTGTGTGTGTGTGTGTGTGTGTGTGTGTGTGTGTGTGTGTGTGTGTGTGTGTGTGTGTGTGTGTGTGTGTGTGTGTGTGTGTGTGTGTGTGTGTGTGTGTGTGTGTGTGTGTGTGTGTTTGTGTGTTTGTGTGTGTGTGTGTTTGTGTGTGTTTGTGTGTGTTTGTGTGTGTGTGTGTTTGTGTGTGTGTTTGTGAGTTTGTGTGTTTGTGTGTGTGTGTGTTTGTGAGTTTGTGTGTTTGTGTGTTTGCGTCTTTGCGTCTTTGCGTCTTTGTGTGTTTGTGTGTGTGCTTGTTTGTGTGCTTGTTTGTGTGGTTGTTTGTGTGATTGTTTGTGTGTTTGTTTGTGTGTTTGTTTGTGTGTTTGTGTGTTTGTGTTCGTGTGCTCGTGTGCTTGTGTGCTTGTGTGTTTGTGTGTTTGCGTGCTTGTGCGTGTGCGTGCGTGCGTGCGTGCGTGCGTGCGCGCGTGCGTGTGTGTGTGGGTGTGTGGGTGTGTGCGTGTGTGCGTGTTTGTGCTTGTGCTTGTTCTTGTGCTGGTGCTTGTGCTTGTGCTTGTATTTGGGTTTGCGTCTGTGTTTGTGTTCGTGTTGGTGCTTGTGTTTGTGCATGTGTTTATGTGTTCATGTTGATGCTTGGGTGTGCGTGTTTGTCTGTGCGCGTGTGTGTGTGTGTGTTGTGTGTGGTTTTGTATCTGTTTGTGTGTGTGTGGGGTGTCTCAGAAAATATTCAAAATATGCCCAAGTTCAAGGAACTCAGTGACAGGCCACCAAAACTTCATGGCCGCTCAAACCCGGATCTCTACGCGCCTGCGCGTGGGCCTCCCCGGCCACCTTCCGCTTTAGGCGGACCACCCTGGCCTCCACCAGCTCACTCCTTTCCGGCAAGGCCCAGGGCCTTTAGAGATGAACCGGACGCTGTGCAAGGAAACATGTTGCTTCTGTTTCTTTCTTACCTCTTCAGTACCCAAAGGCTCACATTGCGACATGGCTGTTCTAGATCAGGAAATTGTAGGCTCCGCTTCGGCGAGCTCTAGCAGCTCTAGCAAGAAGCACGTGTCCTGCCCATTATCGGTAGGCCTTCTGGAAAGTCGATGGTGGCCTGGCATTGGTGCAACGCAAGCGATGCTACACAGAAATGAAAAGATACTTAGGCTCAGCTGAGCCTGCTTTCTCTGCCCTATGTTACCATCCTGTACTGTGGTATACGAATGCCTAGCTTGCATTTTCCTTGCCGCCACACAAAGCAAGTCGCGCGACAAAAGCAAAGGAAAAATCCGAGGCAGGTACCAGAAGGATGTTGGGAACCATGGCCTCGCCACACCTGGGAGGAAAGACGACGACTTTTGTACCGTCCCGTTTTTCACGAATCAGGTTCTTGACAAATCAGAACCCCCCCCCTACAACAAAACCTCCCTGAGCCAAGCCAAGCTCGCCTAGCAATGCACTGTCACCCGCCCTCCAAGAAACACGCGAGCATTCTGAAGAAAGACTGCAGTCCTTTGGGGCAGGTCCGCATCCGCTGCAGCTGTTCGGAGACTTTCGTCACCCATGTGACTTTGGTCACAACATAAATCAACTGATCCAACGTGGCACGGCGAGACATTTCGTTGCTGATGCGTTGCCATGTAGGGAGGAAGCTGTACATTGCCGGGTTGCCAACTTCATGAACCTGGCCCCTTGGCCGAAAGAAGCGCGCACTTGATTCCCGTCTGCCCCAAAGGATGTTGCAATAGCGTGTGCTTCGGAGATGAATACTTCACAGGTTCTTTCTCCATGCATGGCCTCTTGCATGGATAACACAGACAAAGTCCAACTCCAAGTGTTAACATAAAAAACAAATTGATCAATTCTGGCAAATGGCCTTGATGCCTCGGATGCCTCGGATCAACATACATCTCTTCCCATCCAAGCGGCATGCAGCAGCGGGAGAGGCGCCCTGCGTCATCCCGGCCTCTGGCTGCGTGCAGTGGAATCGGTCAGGTCGTGAACTGCAAGTCTCTGCTAGAAACGGGGTGCCATATGCCAATGGGCTGGAAGATGCTCCCGAACCGCTAGGCTCGCGCAGATCATGCCAAAATTTGGCGTTCACTCATCCAACCCACAAGGGGTGCAATGTTAACCCGGGTGACTGTGCCTGATTGAATAGAATGTTACCGCCAGCGCTTCCGTGGGACGCGTGGACACGCTTGCCACTGCACCAAGGTCGCGGCTCTCCGATGCATGGGCCAGACTGCAGTCCTCGGATCAGCAACAGCTGAAATCTAGACAAGCCGCCGGTCAAGCTACCAACTCAGACCATTGTCTACCCGTCTACCCGATCCCTTCCTTTGCTATTGAAAGGCGGGGCCGTCCGTCCGCTTTCTGCCACAGGGCAGTGACGATGTTTCAAACTGGGTCACTACCGCCTTGACTTTCGCCCTAGCAATCGTCATGGAAACAAGACATCAGAAACCTTACGGCCTCAGATCCGGAATGACACCATCTTGGGCCAACCGCATTGTGTGACGCTGGGAAGCCGACGGCCCCGACCAAATCGTAAGCCGCGGCGCCGGGAGGCTCGCGGGGCCCAGGTGCCGCAAGGCGGTGCCCATCACGGAGAGGGTGGCCACCTGAACCCGAGACTCAGCGGGCTGCGGACTGTTCAGTGGGCGCTGTCGCATAAGCGACCCGAGACACTTTTCATCTCATCCAAAAACCAAAAACCCGATCTGAACAGGACCAAGCTGCGCGGGCGCTGTTTTCGTAGGGGGAATGCCTCATTGGGCCCAGCCCATATCCACCAACACCCCCGGTTGGAAACCATGAAGTGGTGGCTGGTCTGAAACATCACCCACCGGGACAAAGTCCAACAGCCTTGCTGCGCCGCCTTACCAAAATTATAGATCTGCCTCCGCCGCCTTGATTCAAATGCGTCCAAAGCCAAAGCGAGACGCCTGCCTCGTCAGTGATGGAGACGTGCTCCCGGTATCCGACCTGATGAGAAATGGCGCAATGCAAGTGGTCAACTTCGCAAACGCGGAACCTTGCTAGAGCCCGAGGCTCCGTTTGTTGGACAAAGCCGCCTCACGTGTTCATGACATAATATATATATCCGCCGACCCCTTCTCCTCAAAGGGGGAGGCGTACGGGAAGGGCGGTTACAAGTCCAAGGCTGGCTGGTAAATGAGCATAACCGAAGATTCAACATCATCATCATCATCATCATCATCATCATCGGCGTGGTGGTCGTCGCCGCTGTCCTTATCTCCTTGTGACACGGTCGAAGGCCTAGGCCCCCAGTCCTCCCCACTTCCATCAAAAACTCACTTTCGAACAGGGTCGCTGGCTTTCACACGATGGCACTGCTTAGCTAGATTCCGCGGAGTTGACATGGAGCATGGACTGTGGAGGCCCCTACATGCCCCAAGTCGGGCCTATTTGGTTGAAAACGTGAAATTATAGAAGATCCTTTGCTTTTAACCATCATCATCTTCTTCGTCATCGTCCTTATCTTTTTTTATATACGTTTCAAGTGTGCCGTTAGACCCGATTTGAGATGCAGAAGATGCGTGGACATGATTATCATGATGACTGCTGGTGATGCTGAGGATGCGTCACGATGATTATCCTGTCAGTTCATCATCATCATCATCATCATCATCATCACGGTGCTTATCATCATCATCTTCTTCGTCATCGTCCTTATCTTTTTTTTATATACGTTTCAAGTGTCCCGTTAGACCCGATTTGAGATGCAGAAGAGGCGCGGACATGATTATCATGATGACTGCTGGTGATGCTGAGGATGCGTCATGATGATTATCATGTCAGTTGGTGTTCATCATCATCTTCTTCGTCATCGTCCTTATCTTTTTTATATACGTTTCAAGTGTCCCGTTAGACCCGATTTGAGATGCAGAAGATGCGCGGACATGATTATCATGATGACTGCTGGTGATGCTGAGGATGCGTCATGATGATTATCATGTCAGTTCATCATCATCATCAATCACAGCAACACACGGTGCTCATCATCATCATCTTTCTTCGTCAATCGTCCTATCTTTTTTTATATACGTTAAAGTGTCCCGTTAGACCCTATTGAGATGCAGAAGATGCGCGGACATGATTATCATGATGACTGCTGGTGATGCTGAGATGCGTCATGATGATAATCATGTCATTCATCATCATCATCATCACGTGCCAACATCATCAGCTTCTTCGTCAACGTGCTTAACTTTAATGATATACGTTTCAGTGTCCCGTTAGACCCGATTTGAGATGCAGAAGATGCGCGGACATGATTATCATGATGACTGCTGGTGATGCTGAGGATGCGTCATGATGATTATCATGTCAGTTTTCATCATCATCAGCATCATCACGGTGCTCATCATCATCATCTTCTTCGTCATCGTCCTTATCTTTTTTATATACGTTTCAAGTGTCCCGTTAGACCCGATTTGAGATGCAGAAGATGCGTGGACATGATTATCATGATGACTGCTGGTGATGCTGAGGATGCGTCATGATGATTATCATGTCAGTTCATCATCATCATCAGCATCATCACGGTGCTTATCATCATCATCTTCTTCGTCATCGTCCTTATCTGTTTTTAATATACGTTTCAAGTGTCCCGTTAGACCCGATTTGAGATGCAGAAGATGCGCGGACATGATTATCATGATGACTGCTGGTGATGCTGAGGATGCGTCATGATGATTATCATGTCAGTTGGTGTCATCATCATCATCTTCTTCGTCATCGTCCTTATCATTTTTTTTACGTTTCAAGTGTCCCGTTAGACCCGATTTGAGATGCAGAAGATGCGTGGACATGATTATCATGATGACTGCTGGTGATGCTGAGGATGCGTCATGATGATTATCATGTCAGTTCATCATCATCATCATCATCAGCGTCATGATGAATATCATGTCAGTTGGTGTTCATCATCATCTTCTTCGTCATCGTCCTTATCTTTTTTTATATACGTTTCAAGTGTCCCGTTAGACCCGATTTGAGATGCAGAAGATGCGGGACATGATTATCATGATGACTGCTGGTGATGCTGAGGATGCGTCATGATGATTATCATGTCAGTTCATCATCATCATCATCATCATCATCACGGTGCTCATCATCATCATCTTCTTCGTCATCGTCCTTTTCTTTTTTTTATATACGTTTCAAGTGTCCCGTTAGACCCGATTTGAGATGCAGAAGATGCGTGGACATGATATCATGTTTCAAGTGTCTGGTGATGCTGAGGATTTGAGATGCAGAAGATGCGTGGACATGATTATCATGATGACTGCTGGTGATGCTGAGGATGCGTCATGATGATTATCATGTCAGTTCATCATCATCATCAGCATCATCACGGTGCTTATCATCATCATCTTCTTCGTCATCGTCCTTATCTTTTTTGCATACGTTTCAAGTGTCCCGTTAGACCCCGATTTGAGATGCAGAAGATGCGCGGACATGATTATCATGATGACTGCTGGTGATGCTGAGGATGCGTCATGATGATTATCATGTCAGTTGGTGTTCATCATCATCATCTTCTTCGTCATCGTCCTTGTCTCTTTTTTTATATACGATTCAAGTGTCCCGTTAGACCCGATTTGAGATGCAGCAGATGCGTGGACATGATTATCATGATGACTGCTGGTGATGCTGAGGATGCGTCATGATGATTATCATGTCAGTTCATCATCATCATCAGCATCATCACGGTGCTCATCATCATCATCTTCTTCGTCATCGTCCTTATCTTTGTTTATATACGTTTCAAGTGTCCCGTTAGACCCGATTTGAGATGCAGAAGATGCGTGGACATGATTATCATGATGACTGCTGGTGATGCTGAGATGCGTCATGATGATTCTCATGTCAGTTCATCATCATCATCATTATCAGCACCATCACGGCGCTCATCATCATCATCTTCTTCGTCATCGTCCTTCCCGTTAGACCCGATTTGAGATGCAGCAGATGCGTGGACATGATTATCATGATGACTGCTGGTGCTGCTGAGGATGCGTCATGATGATTATCATGTCAGTTCATCATCATCATCATCAGCATCATCACGGTGCTCATCATCATCTTCTTCGTCATCGCCCTTATCTTTTTTTACATCCGCCGACCCTTTCTCTAAAAAGGGGAGGCGCACGGGAAGGGTAGTTGGCGCATAAGTATATCCAAAGTTTCATCCTCATCAGCATCAGCAGCTGCAGCTACGATAAATTTTATCGTCATGGTCATCGTGATCATCATTATCCTTATCATCATCTCCTTCTTATTCTCTTATCCTTATCATCATTATCATCATGGTTGTCGTCATCTCTTATCAGGCAGCATTGGTGATGCAGAGGATGCTGCGAGGATCGTTGTCAGCACAGCCGTTAGTGATGCTAAGGATGCTACGATGATAGTTATCATCCTTGTCATCATCTTTATCATCATCTGATCATCACCTAGCATCATCTCATATCTTACTATATATAGAAACCAAAAGGGACGTTAGACATCCTTGGCAACGCAAAGGATGCGATGATGATAGTTATCAAGGAACAAGTAGTGATGCAGAGGATGTTGTGATGATAGTTGTCATGACGCGGATGATAACGATCCTCACGCCCCCATTCTCATCATGGTCGTCGTCATCTCTCATTAGGCAGCATTGGTGATGCAAAGGATGCTGCGATGATCGTTATCATCACAGCCGTTAGTGATGCTAAGGATGCTACGATGATAGTTATCATCCTTGTCATCATCTTTCTCATCATCTGATCATCACCTAGCATCATCTCATATCTTACTATATATAGAAATCAAAAGGGACAGTAGACATCCTTGGCAATGCAAAGGATGTGTTGATGATAGTTATCAAGGAACAAGTAGTGATGCAGAGGATGTTGTGATGATAGTTGTCATGACGCGGATGATAACGATCATCAGGCCCGTGCCACTCTCATCGTGGTCGTCGTCATCTCTTATCAGGCAGCATTGGTGATGCAGAGGATGCTGCGATGATCGTTATCATCACAGCCGTGAGTGATGCTAAGGATGCTACGATGATAGTTATCATCCTTGTCATCATCTTTCTCATCATCTGATCATCACCTAGCATCATCTCATATCTTACTATATATAGAAATCAAAAGGGACGTTAGACATCCTTGGCAATGCAAAGGATGCGATGATGATAGTTATCAAGGAACAAGTAGTGATGCAGAGGAAGTTGTGATGATAGTTGTCATGACGCGGATGATACCGATCATCACGCCCCCCACTCATCATGGTCGTCGTCATCTCTTATCAGGCAGCATTGGTGATGCAGAGGACGCTGCGATGATCGTTATCATCACAGCCGTTAGTGATGCTACGGATGCTACGATGATAGTTATCATCCTTGTCATCATCTTTCTCATCATCTGACCCCATCACCTAGCATCACCTTATCTCATATATCACTATACTTCCATAACATAATAACTACGATACATCCAACCAACTAGCGGCGACGATATGGAAACCATCCTTGGCAATGCCAAAGATGCGATGATGATAGTTATCAAGGAACAAGTAGTGATGCAGAGGAAGTTGTGATGATAGTTGTCATGACGCGGATGATAACGATCATCACGCCCCCATTCTCATCATGGTCGTCGTCATCTCTTATCAGGCAGCATTGGTGATGCAGAGGATGCTGCGAGGATCGTTGTCAGCACAGCCGTTAGTGATGCTAAGGATGCTACGATGATAGTTATCATCCTTGTCATCATCTTTCTCATCATCTGATCATCACCTAGCATCATCTTATATCATATTATCTTATTATAAATAGAAATCAAAAGGGACGTTAGACATCCTTGGATGTATGTCTCTATGTATGTATGTATGTATGTACGTGTGTATGTATGTTTCTTTGTTTGTTTGTTTGTTTATTTGTTAGTTTGTTTCTTTGTGTCTCTCTATCTGTCTCTATGTATGTATGTATGTCCCGCGTGGCCCTGCACGTATACTCCAACAACACAAAAATACAACATGGAACGCCACAGCGCTTCCAACATTCTACAACACCCACGCTTCAACTGCCACCGGCAAACTCTGGCGAGCGGCTTGCGCCTACGCTCCTATGTTGTGCAGCACCGCAATTTGCCGACAGGTTGCTTTATGGGCAAGCAACGGGGCGCCACGCTTCCTCTTTGGACCGTGCAAAGCGAGGCAAAGCTCTGAACCTGTGCCGCGCAACCTGCAAGCGGGCGTGTGTTGTGCCTACAGAGCGCAGAACTAGTAGCGCCCCAACGCGCATAAGACTCTAAGCGTCAATGCATCACCGTCGAACCGCCTGACCCTTCCAAACCCGCTGACGCAGCCCGTTACACAAATCCCATTCCTGGTCACGCCAGCTGATCTAGCGCCGAAGCTCGATCAAAAAAGAATAAGCCCGCCAAGCTAGTTAGGCAACGCGCAACTTCAAAAGCCTCCGAGTCGAACATGTATATGTTCGCGCATAGTCCCGTGCATGGACACGCCCGCGAAAGTGTGCAGAATGAAACACCCAAAGCCTGCCAAGACTCTAACGCGCCCAAAGATCCCCGTTGTGCCGTGTCAGACGATCCCAAGCTCTGATCCCGTGCCGCGCAACCTACAACACCGGCAGATAAGCGAGCACCAGACCTCCAACGAAAAGGCAACCAACGAAAAAAAGCTGCACGCCCCAAAACTTCCAAGACTCCAAAAATTGGTTGCCTCACCATTAGTAACAAAACACCTAACTGGCAGTTGTCGCTTCCGCGGCCGATGAAGCGCTATCGGCCACCAAGCATCGCCGAAAGCACTACGACCCACAGCCAAGCAAACGCAGGGCAAACATATATGCGTTGACACACGCGCGCGCACTATATTTTTACGCGGCCCTACGTGTAAATTCCAACTACACAAGAATACAACATGGAACGCCACAACGCTTCCAAGACCTCACAGCACCGACACTTCCACCGCCACCGGCAAACTCTGGCATGCACGCTGGCGCAAGCTCACGGGCGGCTACTATCCCGTGTTCTGCAGCACCACAGTTTGCCGACAGGTTGCTTTATGGGCAAACAACGGTCCTGGAGGCATATATGGGCACGCATCTGCGCATGACCCAATCTATTACCGCGCCCGCACAAATGCGCAGAAAGCAAAAACCCAAAGCCTTCCAAGACTCTGGGGCGCCAACGCTTCCTCGTTGGACCGTGCAAAGCGATGCAAAGCTCTGAACCTGTGCCGCGCAACCACTTGCAGGCACATCGCCCTGCGTGTGTTTTGCCCACACAAGAGCGCAGAACTAGTCGCGCGCCGACGCGCACAAGACTCTAAGCGTCAATGCGTCACCGTCGAGCCGCCTGACCCTTCCCAACCCGCTGACGCAACCCGTTACGCAAATCCGATTCCTGGTCACGCGACCTAAGCGTTCGCCAAGGAAAATAGGACGCCCGCGACCTGAGTCGATGATGAATCCACCTCGGGCTGAAGAGACTCTTTCTCCTTCGACACGGCGGTGATCGACGTGGGGACCCGACCACGCTCATCCGAGGCCGCGACGGGTCCGTAAGACTTGAACCAAACATCACTGTGTGCATGTATGTGTGTATGTAATGTATGTATGTCTGTAATGTAATGTAATGTAATGTGATGTGATGTAATGTAATGTAATGTAATGTATGTATGTATGTATGTGTGCATTCTTCTCATGTGTGATGACCTGGTCGCAGTTCGTTGCTTGAGATAGCACATCTTCCCAGTGCATCTGAGGTCCATCGTGCTGTCTCACAACGGTAAAAACATACCAATAACATGTCATCTAATGACTCGTGACAAACTCTCGGTCTGGGGAAAGATGTCAAGAGTCGTTCACCTAATATGTATGTATGTATATCTGTATGTATGTATGTATGTATGTATGTATGTCTCTATGTATGTATGTATGTATGTATGTATGTATGTATGTATGTATGTATGTATGTATGTATGTATGTATGTATGTATGTTTCTTTGTTTGTTTGTTTGTTTATTTGTTAGTTTGTTTCTTTGTGTCTCTCTATCTGTCTCTATGTATGTATGTATGTCCCGCGTGGCCCTGCACGTATACTCCAACAACACAAAAAAACAACATGGAACGCCACAGCGCTTCCAACATTCTACAACACCCACGCTTCAACTGCCACCGGCAAACTCTGGCGAGCGCGCTTGCGCCTACGCTCCTATGTCGTGCAGCACCGCAATTTGCCGACAGGTTGCTTTATGGGCAAGCAACGGGGCGCCACGCTTCCTCTTTGGACCGTGCAAAGCGAGGCAAAGCTCTGAACCTGTGCCGCGCAACCTGCAAGCGGGCGTGTGTTGTGCCTACAGAGCGCAGAACTAGTAGCGCCCCAACGCGCATAAGACTCTAAGCGTCAATGCATCACCGTCGAACCGCCTGACCCTTCCAAACCCGCTGACGCAGCCCGTTACACAAATCCCATTCCTGGTCACGCCAGCTGATCTAGCGCCGAAGCTCGATCAAAAAAGAATAAGCCCGCCAAGCTAGTTAGGCAACGCGCAACTTCAAAAGCCTCCGAGTCGAACATGTATATGTTCGCGCATAGTCCCGTGCATGGACACGCCCGCGAAAGTGTGCAGAATGAAACACCCAAAGCCTGCCAAGACTCTAACGCGCCCAAAGATCCCCGTTGTGCCGTGTCAGACGATCCCAAGCTCTGATCCCGTGCCGCGCAACCTACAACACCGGCAGATAAGCGAGCACCAGACCTCCAACGAAAAGGCAACCGACGAAAAAAAGCTGCACGCCCCAAAACTTCCAAGACTCCAAAAATTGGTTGCCTCACCATTAGTAACAAAACACCTAACTGGCAGTTGTCGCTTCCGCGGCCGATGAAGCGCTATCGGCCACCAAAGCATCGCCGAAAGCACTACGACCCACAGCCAAGCAAACGCAGGCAAACATATATGCGTTGACACACGCGCGCGCACTATATTTTTACGCGGCCCTACGTGTAAATTCCAACTACACAAGAATACAACATGGAACGCCACAACGCTTCCAAGACCTCACAGCACCGACACTTCCACCGCCGCCGGCAAACTCTGGCATGCACGCTGGCGCAAGCTCACGGGCGGCTACTATCCCGTGTTCTGCAGCGCCACAGTTTGCCGACAGGTTGCTTTATGGGCAAACAACGGTCCTGGAGGCATATACCCAAAGCATCCGCGATTGAAAAAATTCAATCTCGATGTGCGGATTTTATCTGCGATTGAATTTTGGGAAAACTGTCCGCGATCGTTTTTCCTTAGCATTTTCGCGATTGAATTTGTCAACACTACTCCGCCCTGTCGCGATTGAATTTCGTAAAGGAGGGCAATTTTGGCGATTGAAGTTCAGATGTCATGATTTGCAGCGATTGAATTTGGAAAAATGCTTCCTTCATCACCCTTGGTGGAAGCGCCCCCCATTAAACTCCTTCAAGAAAAGCGCTGGTGGAAGCGCCCCCCCCCCCAAAAAAAAAAAACGCGCTGGTGGAAGCGCCCCCCATTTAACTCCCCCAAGAAAAGCGCTGGTGGAAGCGCCTCCCAAAAAAAAACCGCGCTGGTGGAAGCGCCCCCCAACGCGCTGGTGGAAGCCCCCCCCCAAAAAAAAAAACGCTGGTGGAAGCGCCCCCCCCTCCCAAAAAAAAGAAAGCGCTGGTGCGCCTCGAATGCCTTCTGCACGCGTAGGACTGCGTCTTTAGAGGAGCGTGCTTGAACATCACCAAACACGTGCACCCAAATGATGCACATTGGGAAGATTTGACTTCAATGCACGCAGACATGCATCCCCGAGGCATGTCAGTCCGCTTGTGAGCTTCATGTGTGCTCGTCGCCCTTCTGGATCTCTTGGCTCACAGGGTGAAAGCCTGGCTCAGAAAGTGCTCCGTGTCTGTGAGGCACCATGAAGGCATCACTTCGAGCGGCTGGTCGTGGAGGCGCCCGGAACTGGAGGAAGGAGGATCTGGACCAGACAGCGCTGATCCAGGCCTTCACGCAGCACGCTGTCCAGCATGGACCTCTGAGCCTTCTCCAATTCGGCCCGTACTTGGGCCTCCCGACCACGAGGGCCATCATGGGGGCGGAGCTGGTCCGGCTGTCTCCTATCCTCAGAATGTTCCTGGCGCAGATCCCTGCGGGCAAGGTCAAGCTCACTTGCTTGCGCACCCTGTACATCAAGTTCTGCTCGCAGCACCCGGCCGTGTGGCATTTCTTGGGGACGCAGAAGTCGCTGAGCGACCATGCGACAGACTGCGCCAACACTTGCCTGACTATGCTCGCCCATGCTCGGCGTCTCACGGATGAAGTGAAGTTCCGCCAGGCAGCGTCGGGCCTCACCACATCGGAAGCGCAGGTGCTGGAAAGTCTCCGAGACCACTTCCGAATGCAGCGGCACCAGCCCCTATCAGCCGACGAGGCTGAGGGGGGCGACTCCGGCGCCGGGGTGGGAGAGGTGGACCTGGACCACCTGTCCGACTTTTTGGCGTCACAGGAGCTGCCTGCAGATCTCGAAAAGCGGTCAGGAACAAAACAGGTTCTGAAGCGGCCCGCCCAGCGTGCGCCAAGCGCAGTACATGCCAGGAAGAAGCCCGCTGCCAGCAGCGCGGACATCTCCAAGGAGGAGGCTCTGCGGCAGTTCCCACAAGGCTGCGGCAAATGCCGTGGAAAGCCGGGCTGCTATCGCAGCTGCCATAAGTATCGTGGGTTCCGCCTGATTGAGTAGCTGATGTGTTCCTGAACAGACAGTTTTGTTCGTGTAGGGGATCGCTCCGAGCCAGCAGAAAAAAGCTTACTGCCTGCGTGGCGCAGGTCCTAGGGCAATGTAGGACACTTTGAGCACGCTACTTGTCATGCGTCTGGATAGCTTCAGCCTCAAGCCAATCCTTAGGCGCAGCCAGTGTCGCTGGCCTTCGGGCCGCGCACCAAAGCCGACTAGCTGGCCTTCGGGCCGCTCGCTTGTGCTGGCCTCGCGGCCGCTGGCCTCTGGGCCGCGAAACATCGCTGAGCAGCCAGTGTCGCTAGCTGGCCTTCGGGCCGCTTGCTTGTGGCTTAGCTGGCCTCCGGGCCGCTTTCTTGTGGCTGTGCTGGCCTCCGGGCCGCCAGAAACACCGCTGGCCTGCGGGCCGCGCAGAAGGCAGCGCTGGCCTACGGGCCGCTCGCTTGTGCTGGCCTCGCGGCCGCTGGCCTCTGGGCCGCGAAACATCGCTGAGCAGCCAGTGTCGCTAGCTGGCCTTCGGGCCGCTTGCTTGTGGCTTAGCTGGCCTCCGGGCCGCTTTCTTGTGGCTGTGCTGGCCTCCGGGCCGCCAGTGGACACCGCTGGCCTGCGGGCCGCACAGAAGGCAGCGCTGGCCTACGGGCCGCGGCGGCCGCTTGATTTGACAGGGCTGGCTTCTGGGTCGCGCGCACGGCAGTGCCCGCTGGCAAGCAAAAAGCGTGCGCTCCTCCGTCCCAACTTGTTGTGTCTGCATGTGCACACATGGGTGTTTCTAGAAACCCCAGCATGTCTCGTTGCGCATGAGTTGCTCTGCTGCCGCTTTGCTCTTGGTTTGCTTCCTGCTTCGTTTAGCCCGCAGCATGAGCCGGAAGGCTAAGCTGACACCGCGGCAGCCGACCAGTAGCAGCAGCGCTGACCAGAGCGACAGCTTGGAGAGCTCGGAAAGCGAGTGCAGCGACTCGTCGGCGTCCGTCATGTCGCCGCCTCCGCCAGCCCCGGGGCGCGATGGGCCACCTGCTGGAGACCAGCCTGCAGGCCCTCCGTACCCCGCCAGCGAAGTTGCACAAGCGGTGTCTCCTGCTGCCAACACTCCGCCAACGGCTCTCCCCAAAGCTGCGCCAGCTGCTCCAGCAGAGCTGCCTGCTCTCCCCAGCGACTCGGCGCCCCAGGCGGACACGCCGGGCCAGCGCCGGCCTCGCTCGCCCGTGGCGCCGCCCCGCAAGGTGTCGGAAGATTCTCTTCCGCTGGCAGCTGGGGAGCCGGAGGAAGACCATGCCGGCCGCCGCAAGTCGCGCGGCGGCGCACGCAGAGTCCCGCGCTCCTCGGACACGTCCCAGTGCGCCACATGCTGGCGCTGGATCACGAACGGTGACTGGTCCTGGCATCAGCACCGGCAGAGCCCGTATCACCGTGCCTGGGCTTGCAAGGCCGGCGAGGCAGCTGAGCAAGGCGCTGATGGCCCGCCGGCCGCTGGGCCTGCCAAGGTGGTCAAGAGTGAAGTCAAGGAGGAGGAGGCGGCGTCAGAGGCTTCGGATGTCTCGAAGCGCAAGAAGAAAAAGAAAGCTCGCCGGTCCGCTCCTGACCGCGAGGCGGATCCTCGGGACCACCGCGGCCCGCCCGACGACAAGAACGACCCTTCTGGCTCCGGAGCCGGGGGTGAGAAGGCAAAAGCCTTGACCGCTATCTTTGAGAGAGCTGTGCAAGCCCTTGAGAGCTTCTAGAGCTCTGGCACGCCGCTGAGATCATCTGGCCTCAGGGCCGGCAAGCTGGCGATTTTGCGCGCGCCAGTGGATTGGCTTGGCTTCGTTGTCGGCTTTTGGGCTGATGGCCCCAGGGCAAGCAATCGGCCTCCGGGCTGCCACTGCCTCCTTCGCTCCGGCACAGCAGACGAATGGAGAAAAAAAGGCGTCGGGTGGTGCGCTCTTGCATATACATACATAAACATATATACATATACACACATGTATTTACATATATACACACATTTATATATATATATATATATTTTATATATGTGGTGGGTTCTCATGTATGTATGTATGTATTTATGTATGTATACACATACAACATTCGCTGGCGTACATGTACACCCACTAGAATTGGAAACTGAGAGAAAACCAAACACGCTTGACCACATGGCAACGCTCTTCAAACACTGGCAGGAGGTCAGAACGTGTCAGAAGACGTCTTCTGACTTCAATATGATCGGAACATGTCAGAGGACGTCTTTTGACGTCAGAAGATGTCAGAACATGTCAGAGCATGTCTTTTGACGTCAGAACGTGTCAGAGAATGTCTTTTCACGTCAGAAGATGTCAGAACATGTCAGAACGTGTCAGAAGATGTCAGAAGTGTGTCAGAAGATGTCAGAAGTATGTCAGAAGACGTCATAAGATATCTTGTGGTTGTTGTTATCTTTTTAAAAAAGCATGTCGTTACCAGTAGACTTCCGTCCGCCGCTGTCGCTTGGCTCCGCAGCACGCTCTGCTACTGGCCCGGCACGCTGTCTCAACGCTCCTTTGCGCCAAGCCCTACGCGACCATGCCCCTGAAGCGCCCTGCAGCATCCGTGCTGAAGAAACCGGCGGCTTCGGCCGCTGAGCCGGACGTGGCCCAGCTCACGACGGCGCCGGAGATCGGCAAGTTCCTCTTCGGACACGATGAGGACGAAACTTCGCGCCGCTTGGCGCTCTTGTCCGACTCGCAGAGGCAGACGCTGACGAAAATGTTCGAGCGTGCTCGCAAAGAGCACGGGCAGGAGTACGAGGCTGTCAGTCTGCAAGGGGCAGGCGCCAACCGCAAGAAAGGCGAGCTCTTGCTTGCTTGGCTTCAGCACGGCTTCAACGAGACTTACTGCACTCTGGCAGCAAAGATTGTCATGAAGCAGTCTCGCCTGACTCGGGAGGAGTGGATCCCCTTGCGCGAAGCCCAGCGCTTGTATGGCCGCTTTGAGCTGAAGAAGCGCCTGAAGAAGGGATCCTTGGAGTCGCGCCGTGATCCGGCTGACCCCGAGTTCTTCCAGGTGCGGAGGCGCCGGGAGCTTCAAGAGACTGGCACCACCAAGCAAAAAGAGCTCAAGGCGCTGTCCACAGGAGGAAAAGCTGGCGCCAAGCATGTCTGGGACCAGCTGGAATCTGACGAGCAAGCTCCGGGCTGGTCCGACTTGAAGCTTGCCCGCCCAGCAAAGAAGGGAAGGATCGGCGCTGGTGGCGGGCGGGCCACAGACGTCGATGCTATGATGGCCCTGCTGGATGAGGGCGGGTCGGATGACAATGTCGACGCAGAGTCCGACAATGTCGGAAGCGCCGATGACGATGAGTTCGGGCAGTCTGCCGACTCGGAGGAAGAGCCGCCTCTGGCCCTGGAAGACAAAAAGTCCCGCCGGGCATCTCGCTCCCAGGCGCCAAGCAGCAAGGTCAGCTTGGACGACGTTGAGAAGTACAGCGCCAAAGTTGGATCTGTGCATCGTGAGGAGCTTCGGCGCCGCCTGTCTGCCACCGCCAAGCTCGCCACTGCTGCCATCGAGGAAATGACCGCCGCGCAGGACGCATCGAAAGGCCAGCAGAAGCAGCGGATCGTCGGCTGCAGCAATGCCTCGAAAGCTGCGCTGACACAGGCCCAGGCGGCGCTCGCAGACAACGGCGCAACTGCCGAAGTCTGTAAGCGGGCGCTGCTCGAATGCGTCAAGTCCTTGAGCGCGTGGCGCCGGACACGCGCTACATCGGCCTGATCTGTAAGTCGGCGCGCGCGCCCGGTCTAGAGCATATATATAACTTGATCATGAGCCAGTTTGTCGACTGGCAAGTTTTGTTCGAAGCCTGACAGCCAGAGATCGCTCGGAAAAGGACTTGCTGCCCGCGCTCGTTTGCGTGCCTTGATTCAACTATTATAATTTTCACACGTCATGCGTAGGTTGCTCTTTTTTTTAATCGCCCGCTGGAGCCGTTGCTTGTCTCTGCCGCACGCTGCTGCCCAAGCTGTTGCGCCTGCAGCCATGGCTAGGAGGCGAGGATCAAAGCGCACGATCGAAGAGAGAGCGCTGGATGAGGCAGCATCACCACATTCCCAACTCTGGACCTGCATCATGGAGCTTTGGGCCTGGGGCGTTCTGTCAAGCCCAATTGTGCAAAAGCTGGCGCAAGCAGCCCGCCGGAGCGGCTGCTCTGCCCACGACATCGACACGTTGGCGCAGCTAGGTGCCAGCGGTGCGCACGAAGGCAACTGCCACCGGGACTTACTGCGCGCGTACGCTGCCCGTTGCGTGACCCCGGCGCTATCGCCGGTGACTTGCCCAACGAAGGTCAGAGCGCCGGAAGGCGCGGCAACGCTCGACACTCAGCAAGCAGTGCTGCCTGCTTCCCAATGGATCCGGCGCGTGTGTGAGCATGGCTTGGACACAGCCTTGCTGGGCTCGGACGCAGAGCGCGCAATCTTCTGGGCCGCCCAGAAGGACTCGCCTCGCGCAACGGGCGTAGGCTACTACCATGTCCGTGACTTCTGCCCAGAAAAAACAATACCGCTGCTACTTTTTGCCGACGGCGCGAGCCATGCGGAGCACGATTCCATCGTGTCAGTGAGCTTCCGGAGCCTCTTGGCGCACCAGTGCGACATCGCAGAGAGCATGTTTCTCCGCCATGCCCAAGTCGGCCACTGTGAAGAAGGAAACATGGCGGTGCTTGTGGCAGGCCTTGGTAGAAGATCTCAATCGTTTGGCCCACGGGCTGGACCACGACGGCTCCGCGCTGCCTCTCAGAGCTGTAGTGTGGGTTGTCTCTGGCGACTACGAGCATATGGCCAACGAGTATGGCCTCCCGCACTGGACGAGCCTTGCCTGCTTCTGGTGCTCTGCGCCAAAGGAGCACTTCTTCGCCTTTGCTGACATCCCAGCTTTGACGCGGTCGGCTGAAGACATGCTGGACCAGGATGCGCTGGACCATCCACTCAAAGCTTTGACCAACTACTCTCCATGCATGTTTGCCATCGACACCCTTCACTGCGTGGACCTCGGAGTGGCAGCCCACGTCTACGCCAACGTGTTCCATGAGCTCACACAGGAGTGGCCAGAAACTAAGGCGGCCAGCCTGAGCAGACTCAACAAAGAGCTGCGGTCGCACTGCGTTGCAGTCGGGTCGCCCGCGCCGCCGCTGCTGCGATACGAAAACTTCGCGCCACGGTCCGGCGAGTACCCGAAGTTGCGCCACATGAAAGGTGCCGCAATACGCCGCTTGGCGCCAGCTGTGCAAGCCCTTGCTGCCGCATATGGGCGCGGAAGCGCGCATCGCAAAAGGAGGGCTCGCGTGGCCGCCTTGCTGCGCGCAATCTATGACTCGACTTCCTGCCGACTTGTCATGCCAGCAGCCAAGCACGCGGAGTTTGCCCGCGTGCTGACGGAGTTCCTGGAAGAGTATGCCAAGCTAGCCACCTCCTGCAGGGGTAACGGATGGCACGTCGTCTTCAAGTTTCACATGCTCAGGCACTTAGACGAACAGTCTAAGCACTTGAGCCCGCGGTTTGTGTGGACATACCCAGGAGAAACTTTTATGTCGTTCATGTGCCAAATCGCCAGCTCTTGCTCGCGGGGCACGCCTGGCCGACTGCTTGGCGTCAAAGTGCTGCAGAAGTACCGGGTCGCCCAGCATCTCATGCTATCGCAGCAGATCCCTACGCGCTCACGGTTTCCAGTCGATGAACTCGACGAACTCGAAGATTGACCGCTGCTGGGCCTTGAGCCGCTCAGCTTGAGCCTGAAATGGCTGCGACAGCGTGTGGAAAAAAACGCGACAACAGCTCTTATGTTTTTAATATTTATATATATATATATGTCTTGCGTTTTATATATATATATAGATATACAGATATATCGTAAATATTATATATATATGTATAAATAGATGCATGTGCTTGCGAGTGTGCATGGTCTCACTGCACGTGCACATGCGCCCCGTGCACATGCGCCCCCATCATGGCCCGGACCGCGATTGACTTTCATTTTTGACATGCTTGCCCGCGATCGATTTTGACAATTTTGCGACACCACTCTGGGATTGAATTTCACCAAGTGAGCCGACAATGGGCCGCGATTGACTTTTGGGATTTTGCCTTGTTTTTGGTGCGTTTTTTACCTGCGATTGAATTTGGTTGCCGCGATTGATTTTTTTCAATCTCGGATGCTTTGGGTATGTGCACGCATCTGCGCATGACCCAATCTATTACCGCGCCCGCACAAATGCGCAGAAAGCAAAAACCCAAAGCCTTCCAAGACTCTGGGGCGCCAACGCTTCCTCGTTGGACCGTGCAAAGCGATGCAAAGCTCTGAACCTGTGCCGCGCAACCACTTGCAGGCACATCGCCCTGCGTGTGTTTTGCCCACACAAGAGCGCAGAACTAGTCGCGCGCCGACGCGCACAAGACTCTAAGCGTCAATGCGTCACCGTCGAGCCGCCTGACCCTTCCCAACCCGCTGACGCAACCCGTTACGCAAATCCGATTCCTGGTCACGCGACCTAAGCGTTCGCCAAGGAAAATAGGACGCCCGCGACCTGAGTCGATGATGAATCCACCTCGGGCCGAAGAGACTCTTTCTCCTTCGACACGGCGGTGATCGACGTGGGGACCCGACCACGCTCATCCGAGGCCGCGACGGGTCCGTAAGACTTGAACCAAACATCACTGTGTGCATGTATGTATGTATGTAATGTATGTATGTCTGTAATGTGTAATGTAATGTAATGTGATGTGATGTAATGTAATGTAATGTAATGTATGTATGTATGTATGTGTGCATTCTTCTCATGTGTGATGACCTGGTCGCAGTTCGTTGCTTGAGATAGCACATCTTCCCAGTGCATCTGAGGTCCATCGTGCTGTCTCACAACGGTAAAAACATACCAATAACATGTCATCTAATGACTCGTGACAAACTCTCGGTCTTGGGAAAGATGTCAAGAGTCGTTCACCTAATATGTATGTATGTATATCTGTATGTATGTATGTATGTATGTATGTATGTATGTATGTATGTATGTCTCTATGTATGTATGTATGTATGTATGTATGTATGTATGTATGTATGTATGTATGTATGTATGTATGTACGTGTGTATGTATGTTTCTTTGTTTGTTTGTTTGTTTATTTGTTAGTTTGTTTCTTTGTGTCTCTCTATCTGTCTCTATGTATGTATGTATGTCCCGCGTGGCCCTGCACGTATACTCCAACAACACAAAAATACAACATGGAACGCCACAGCGCTTCCAACATTCTACAACACCCACGCTTCAACTGCCACCGGCAAACTCTGGCGAGCGCGCTTGCGCCTACGCTCCTATGTTGCGCAGCACCGCAATTTGCCGACAGGTTGCTTTATGGGCAAGCAACGGGGCGCCACGCTTCCTCTTTGGACCGTGCAAAGCGAGGCAAAGCTCTGAACCTGTGCCGCGCAACCTGCAAGCGGGCGTGTGTTGTGCCTACAGAGCGCAGAACTAGTAGCGCCCCAACGCGCATAAGCGTCAATGCATCACCGTCGAACCGCCTGACCCTTCCAAACCCGCTGACGCAGCCCGTTACACAAATCCCATTCCTGGTCACGCCAGCTGATCTAGCGCCGAAGCTCGATCAAAAAAGAATAAGCCCGCCTAGCTAGTTAGGCAACGCGCAACTTCAAAAGCCTCCGAGTCGAACATGTATATGTTCGCGCATAGTCCCGTGCATGGACACGCCCGCGAAAGTGTGCAGAATGAAACACCCAAAGCCTGCCAAGACTCTAACGCGCCCAAAGATCCCCGTCAGACGATCCCAAGCTCTGATCCCGTGCCGCGCAACCTACAACACCGGCAGATAAGCGAGCGCCAGACCTCCAACGAAAAGGCAACCGACGAAAAAAAGCTGCACGCCCCAAAACTTCCAAGACTCCAAAAATTGGTTGCCTCACCATTAGTAACAAAACACCTAACTGGCAGTTGTCGCTTCCGCGGCCGATGAAGCGCTATCGGCCACCAAAGCATCGCCGAAAGCACTACGACCCACAGCCAAGCAAACGCAGGGCAAACATATATGCGTTGACACACGCGCGCGCACTATATTTTTACGCGGCCCTACGTGTAAATTCCAACTACACAAGAATACAACATGGAACGCCACAACGCTTCCAAGACCTCACAGCACCGACACTTCCACCGCCACCGGCAAACTCTGGCATGCACGCTGGCGCAAGCTCACGGGCGGCTACTATCCCGTGTTCTGCAGCACCACAGTTTGCCGACAGGTTGCTTTATGGGCAAACAACGGTCCTGGAGGCATATATGTGCACGCATCTGCGCATGACCCAATCTATTACCGCGCCCGCACAAATGCGCAGAAAGCAAAAACCCAAAGCCTTCCAAGACTCTGGGGCGCCAACGCTTCCTCGTTGGACCGTGCAAAGCGATGCAAAGCTCTGAACCTGTGCCGCGCAACCACTTGCAGGCACATCGCCCTGCGTGTGTTTTGCCCACACAAGAGCGCAGAACTAGTCGCGCGCCGACGCGCACAAGACTCTAAGCGTCAATGCATCACCGTCGAGCCGCCTGACCCTTCCAAACCCGCTGACGCAACCCGTGACGCAACTCCGATTCCAGGTCACGCGACCTAAGCGTTCGCCAAGGAAAATAGGACGCCCGCGACCTGAGTCGATGATGAATCCATTTCGGGCCGAAGAGACTCTTTCTCCTTCGACACGGCGGTGATCGACGTGGGGACCCGGCGACGCTCATCCGAGGCCGCGACGGGTCCGTAAGACTTGAACCAAACATCACTGTGTACATGTATGTACGTATGTAATGTATGTATGTCTGTAATGTAGTCTAATCTAAAGTAATGTAATGTAATGTAATGTAATGTAATGTAATGTATGTATGTATGCATTCATGTAATGTATGTATTGTATGCAATGTCTATACTGCAGCTTAATGCAATGTAATAGTAGTAATGTACGTAATGTAATGTAATACAAGGTAAGGTAAAGCAAGGTAATGTATGTAGTGTCATGCATGTATATGTTTGTATATAAGTCAAGTAAAGTAACGTTACGTAATATAATGTATGTATGTAGGTACGTATGTATGCGTTGTATGTATGTTATTCTCTGTTGTGCTTTGTTATGATTTGTATGTATGTGTCGGCCTGACAAAAAAACGAGCATTCCCCCCACCAACAACAACTGTTTTTTTTTAAACCATGTCCAAATCCCAAGTACTCTGTCCAAAACGCAGTGGTTGGGACCCGGGTGCTGGTAGAGTCGCGAGCATTGCTCATTGCCGATACCCAGGTTTCTCAGCCAAGCAAAAGCGACGGCTCCACAGAAGGCAGCCCCCCACAAAAAGGTGATCATCCCCCCATCAATGTGTTGCAATCCAAGGTTTTGTCTTTCCATGTTAATCCTGGGTTCCCTATTTTGTCATTTTCTCTTTTGCAGGAAGTGGACCTCGAACTTCATAACGATTCGACAAATCAGTCCATTCTTGCGCCAGATGGTCGCGGTTTTCCTTGTTGTGGTGTCCTGCTGCGGAATCCTCGGCTTGAATCGAGCGCAACTCTCAGCTTCTCCTCGGAAGCTTTCTTGGAGGGCACCCCTGTTTTGGACACATTGTCTCAAGGGTTTTTTCAGGTACGGGTTTTAGAGGTATGGAGGTGAGATTTACCACTTATATAAGGGGTATATACTGCCTAACAAGCTTGTAGTGGTGGTATATCTGCGCATCCCTACCTCCAAAACCCATACCTGAAAATGCCCTCTTTTGGACACATTGTGAGATAAGCGTTGGAGCTGCGCTGGCCGTTGAAGGCTTCTACCCGGTTCTTGGATGCCGGGAAAAAAAACGTTCAGCTGTAGTCCTTCCACTGCTTCTGATATCCCCACTGCTTGTTGTAGTCCTTGTACTCCTGCGTGGTCCAAGATTGTCTCTTCTTGACGTAATCCTGGTATCTCTCAGAGCTGCGTTTGCTGGTTGCAGATCTGCTGCGGATGTAAACCATGAGGGAGTCGGAGTCCTGCGAGCCGTTCATGAACATTTCATTGTTCACGTGCTTGTAGCGCTCTGCGGATGAGACCTGGTAATCGAAAATGGCCTTGTTCGGATGGTTCCGCATGAATTCCAGTTGTTCATCATCCATATTGTTCATCCCGATCTTCCGGAAGTCCTGCTGAATGTTCGTTTTGCCCCATCCACATACGATAGTCATCATCACATCTGGGAATGTTCGATCAAAACCTGATCCGCATTTCATGTACAGGTGATGACGGACAATGGATTTCAGGGTGCACGAAGTCTCCACTGTATACTCCATTCTGGGCACGAGTGGCAAATTCTTCGTCGCATTCCACAATCTCTGATATGCTCTCATGAGGATGTTCACGAGACCGTTGTTTGGATTGTAGACATGCTGGAGTTTGCTGCAGGTGTTCGCCGATTTGTTGGCGTCTCCGGTGATCGCATCGCATCGGTAAAAGGTCACGAGCGGCATGATTTCGTTCTGAAGATCTTCTTTTGCTGCTCCATGACTAAGTGAAGGATGGATGTGGAAAACTCCAATGGTCGCGAATGGCAAGTCTGCCCTCGTGATATGGCGGTCGTCATACTCGTAGTATGATTTGTCGGATGATTTCGGGATCATGCCACGAAACTCATCACTCTGCTCGATGTGGAGAACGACGATCTCCTTGTCTCGGCCATGTCC